GAAAGCAGGATGCTCCAACATAAACACATCCCGCCCAGCCAGCCCGCTCCAACGCCCACAGAAGGGATGGAAAAGCTCCCACTGAGTTCACTGGCCATTGGAGCAAGGCCACTGCCCCCTCCCTGTCCAGCCAGCGCCCTGGATGGGGCAATATTCGTGTGTTCCCCCCCCCCGCCCGCCCGCAGGTAGGAGAGGAATGTCCGCACCCAGGACAGGAATGGCTGTGCTAGGTCCCGGGATCCTGCCAGTTTCCCCCAGGGATTCTGCTGTCCTAGATCCGTTGGGAAGCGAGGGAGGGGCGGGGGAGACGAAGCAGCAGCAGGGACCCTGCAGGCGGTTGCCAAGTCCGGGGAGGGAAATCTAATTTACTGTCTCCGAATCCAGCCCCGGAGATACAGGGAGCGCGTCCCTGCTGATTCCCAGAAATGCGGATGACTCACAGAACGCTGCATTCCCTCCTCTCCAAGCGCCTGCCCTGATGTAACCTTTGCTTTCCCCCACCCCCCCGCCCAGCAGGGGATGAGAACAGGGTGGGTGCCAGTGGATGGATGGCTGGCTGGCTCAGCAGGGAGGCGCCCTGACACCAGCGCAACAGGAGACTGGTACCGGCTGGGAGGGGGCAGGAAATCAGAGCCCTCCCCCCATGTTATTGACAAGACTGTCCTCTGCCCTGGTTACTCAAGAGAATACAGTGCCCTACGCAGGGCAGAGCCCTCTTCCCACAGGGCAGGGCCAGCGCCCCACAAAACGCAGGCTTGATGCTACGGGTCAGCCCAGGTCAGACCCGGGGGAGAGAGGCTGATCCAAACCAAGGGGAAGGAAACCGCCTCTGCCCTCCCCCAGAATAGGCTTAACAACCTTCTCTCCAGCTGCACACAGCTGCAGCTGGAACCCTGACACCGGCACTCCACCATGGCCGCCGCTGCTGAGGGATTTTCCATCCAGAGCAAAAAAAAAAGGGGGGGGGGGGGGGAAGGGAGGGTGAAGTTCCAAAACACAAAAAACTTCCACCATTGAGAAATAACATTCCTCCCGCCTCAGCCACCTAGTGACCTCAGAAACCGAGCCAGGCCCTGGATCCAAGCCGCTGGGAGGGGCTGCTGGGCCTTCCAATGGGAGCACAGATCCCTACCCTCTCCGGCGGGGTCTGGGATGCCGCAGAGACACCAGTACCCTCTTCCCCAGTACCGGCAGGCAGGCTCAGCTACGCTGGGGTAGGGTGGGGAAGGTTGCATGCATGGCCGAGGCTGCTAGACAAGGACCAATACCCCTCCACCCCCCGGCAGCTCTGCTGAGCAGGTGGGCCATCCCCCTAGGAAAGGGGCATCATCCGACCCCTTGAACGTGGCAATGAGCTTTGGCAGGAAGTTCACCAGCAGCTACTAGGACATCAGCCGCGCCACAGGAATCCGGCCCCCAGCTTGGGGTAAGCGCCACGCCTCCTGCCCGGTAGTCATTTCCTTAAGGTACCAAGGGGAAGGCTTAGATGGCGTTTTCTCCCACCCACACACACCCCCACCAGAGGAAGTCAGAGCACAGCAGATCTCCCTGCTATTATCAGAGAGCCCTACACAGGCAGAACCAAGGCGAGAAGCATGAATGAGAGGCGTGGTTTCCTGTCCCCGGCCCCCAGGTGCTGGCTGTTCCTCTGTGCTCAGAGAAGGCTTCCTGAGGCAGAGATCCTGTCAACAAACCCATGGGGGGGGGGGGGTCACCACTTCCCAGCCTTGGCTTCCCACTCATTTTACTGCAGTAGGGAACAGAGACTAGTGGCATGGGAGGCCTTTTCCGGCTCTAGCTTCAGTGACAGAGGAAGGGGTGGGGGTGCAAGGGTGGGGGGGTGCAGCTTCGACTGGGGACCTACACTTTGCATCCAAGGCGCATGGGACCCAGACTGACCAGGAGAGCCTACACCTCTGCAATTCAGCACCTCTAAGGAGCTACCTTCTAACCCCCTGGCCCCCCGCCCCACTACCGACACGCCACAAAGGAGGAATAAACCCTTTCGCTGCAAGGCCTGGAATGCACCGATTCCATCCTGCAGACACAAGCATGGTAATCAAAGCCAGCCCTGCTCCGGGCAGGTCGGCCAGCTTCCCCCCCCCCCCCGTTCCTTAAAGCAGCCACCACTCCCCCATTACCATGTTGGCTGGGCGATCATACAAGTTTTCAAGATGAGACAACGCACACACACACCACGCAGGAGGACCCCACCCCAGCCTCTTTGCTGGCTCTGCCCCTGCCCACCCTCTCGGGGCATGAGACAGCAAGCCCCAGCCAGGAATCTTAGCCCGACCCAGGAGGATTCCTGCCCTCTGCCCCTCCCAGGCCTAGAAAGAGGCATTGTGCGGGGAGATTCCTCAGAGCTCCTACCCAGGCTGCAACCAGAACATCTCGTCACAGGGAGCGTCTCAAGCCCTGTGTGCACGGCCCCCACCCTGAAAGGAGGGACGGGGGACAATTCCGAGACCATCCCCCCGAGGCAGGTGGGGGAAGGTCTCAACTGATCAGACACCAAACCAAGCTGAGAAACTGGGACCCGAAGCCAGCTCGCCTTCTGCCAGAACACGCCACTGAGCCGCTAGCATTTCACCAATGCCCCACGCCAACCCAGAAAAGCACTCATGCCCAAAAGCCACGTAGGAGACGGGCCTCCGGCCCTTTGCCAGAACCCAGATCCCTGCAGCAGTTCACTGTTGTGAGCCCGGCTAGATTCACAGGGAAGCCACGTCCGAGCGCAGGGGGATGGGGTGCTCTGTTTGCCCCCCCCCCCCAGGGGGGGCGGGGGAAGAACCCTCCAACCCCAGAAGCACCCAGCTGGCTTTGCAGCAGCTCAGCAAGCAGCGCGTTAAACGGGCCGTACAGAGTCAAGGTCGTCCGTGGGAGGGCCAAGAGCATCCAGGTTGCAAGGTGACTTTGGGGACAGCCACACTGCACAGTGCGCGGAGGGGCCTGGTGGCTCTGCCACCCTTCCAGGTGCCCTGTCCTAGAAAAGCACTAGCCACACAACAGCAGGGTCCTGGCAGGCAGGTCTGCAAGGAAACGCTGCAGCCAGCCTCCCATGTTTTCCCCACCCACTCAGATCCCGAGGAGAGCAGTTAAAAGGTACCAAGCAGGGCAGGGCATGAGCAGGTGTTTGCACAGCGCTTGGGGGATGGGACGTGGCCCCCAGCACTGCGCTGGTGGCTCAGAATTAAACCAGGGACTTTAAAAGTCTTTTAAAAATAAACTCAAGGGCTCGCCGGGGAGGAAGGAGAGAGAATTTTTTTTTTTTTAAAAAGACCAAAAACAAAGAAGCAGGAGCCTGCTCAACTTTAAAGCCAGAGGGAGGTGAAGAGGTGAATTCCACACCCAGCTGCAGTCAGCCGTTTCCTTCCCTCCCCACCTCCCCTCAGACACACATCAGAGGGTCACCCAGCAATGGGAGGGTTTCCTTGAAGCCCAAGCCACGGATAGAGAAAGAAAGAAAGAAAAAAAAAAAAAAAAACAAAAAAAAAAAAAAACACCCTCCCCCCCTTTGTCTGATTAGCAACCTCTCATCTTTGGGAGCACAGGCAGCCAGACGCCAAGTAACTTCACAGTTATTCTAACCCAGCGCCACCCCCGCCCCCTCCCCAGCCATAAGCTCAAGACCATAGTGCAGACATTTGAAAGCTGCTGCGTCTGGTTTTCCTGAAGGGCGGCTCAGGACCTGGGAGAAGAGCCCCCACCCCCTTGTGATCTGAAGAAACCTCCAACACAAAGCTGTGTCCTGGTAGGATCTGCATATACGCACACGTCCCCTCCCCCCCCCCCCCCCCTGATTCTGCAGACACAATAGCAAGAGGCATTCTTCCCTCAAGCAATAAAAGCAACTGTTAGGGTAGGAATCCTGCTTTTGTCTTTAAATTGGGGGAAATGGGGAAATCAGTCCCCAAATACACCCCCTGTGTCGAGAATGGGGACCCCGCAGCGCACCTTGAGGTCAGGACCTTGGCAGAGGCAGCACTGACCTTGGCCTAGACCCTTCACCATCCTTTGCCTCAGTTTCCCCACCCACTCTATTTAGACCAGTGGTTCTCAACCTCTTTACCATTGTGGGCCGCACATGCAGCTCTCTGTGTGTGGTATGTGGGCCACATCCACACAATATATAGATATGACCTGTATGGCCCTGAGGATGTCACGTGGGCTGCAGCTGTGTGCTGATTGGACTGCAGGTTGAGAACCTCTGATTTAGACTGAACTCTTCAGGGCACGGACCGTCTCTCCCTAGGTGTGTGTGCAGTGCCTGGCACAGCGGGGCCCTGATTTGGGTCAAGGCCTTTAGGCAGTATGGTAACAAATGATCATCAAATCCCTTCACCACAGACACAGGCCTCTAGGTTTCTCTTTTGCTGAGATCTCTAGCCTTCAGCACACACAGGAAGCTGTGGGGGCGGGGAAGGGGGGGGGGGAGGTCAGCTACAAGCCCCCTGCAGAGAAATCTTTGTCCAGGTCAATGCACCAATATTTCTGCTTCTCACCTGAGTTTCAGTTAAGCTTTCCAGAGCCTGCATCACTGACTGTTCTGGTCTGGATGCCTGAGACTGAAAGAAAAAATAAAAAAGGGGGTGTGTGTGCGTGTGGCTGGGGGGTGGGTGGGTGGATTGCATGTCACTTTCACTATTTATACACCGAGCTACAGAGCAACCAATGAAATATTCAACTTGCTGCCGTTCCCAGCGCCAACCTTCCCCCCCCCCCAAAAGGGTTGTGTCGGAGGAAGTGGCATCCGTTCTGCTGAGCCAGATCACATTCTAGCCCTTTAATAATAGATGAGCAGAGTGTGTGTGTTGGTGGGGGGGGGGGGGGGGGGAAAAATAAAAAGCCATTTACCATCAAGCCAGCTTCCACTGTGGGGACAAGCGTCAGTTTGCTTCCTTCCACGACCCCCAAATCCTGCAGCTTTCCAGAACTGAGCCGACTGCAGAAGGGAAAAAGACATGGACAGAGAGAAGGACGTCAGAGCTCCCTGGTATTCAATCAGTAACGTGCACATCCAGCAAAAAGGGACGGTTAAAGGAAGGGGGCCTGGTTTACTTTAGAACCCAACCCATAGCTCCCCTGACTCTGAACTGCCTCTTAGGCCAGGGGGATGCAGGATCAGCGGTGGGGGGGTTAATTTACATTTAGCACAATGCCTCTCCCCAGTTATCTTTACCCTCTGAATCTCATTCCAGCCCCTTCCCCTCAATGCACAACTGTGTCCGTCTCTCTCCCCCTCCAGTTTATTATGTAAACATCCTATCAGAGGGGCAGGAGGCAGGGAATGATACTGCAGTAATCAGTCAAGCAGCCATTGCCACTAACCCGTGCAGTGTGTGTGCAGCGGGCTGGGAGACAAGAGGAGGCACTCGCTTTTGTGTCTAACAAAACCTCCCCCCATAGGACAGGCAGGATTCAGATGACTGGGGGTGGGGGCAGGGAGAGGAGGAAATTTTGACCAGTTTTGGGAGGAGGGTACCGTGGGGGTGGGGGGGTGGACACCCGCCCCCTTTTTTTCCTCCAAGCACTGTAATCATAGATGCAAAGGATCTCTTCCCCCCCCACACACACACACACAGCCACCCCCCTCAATTAGACACCCTGCCAGGGTGCTTAATTCACTCAACCCCGCTGCTCAAGGAGGGAGAGCCAATCAAGAGCAAAAGCTCCTTCATTTTAGTCTCCGAGGTTCCTTTCTCTATTTTGGCTACTGTTGGGGGTGGGGGGGCTAGAAGGGAAGGGGTGCGTGAAAAGTATCCCACAGAAAGCCCCCACCCTTTTTGCACCTTAAGCCTTGACCAGTCTTGGATCTGCAACAAACCTGGCTCCTGCTAAACAAAGGACTGTCCCACCTCCCAGCCCTGCCACGCCAGAATTCAACTCTCAAAGAGCCCCCCCGCCCGTCCCTGCCCTCGCCTGCATTTGGGTTTTGGAAAAGGGGGCGGGGGGGGGGGGAGCGTCGTGCCGGGAAAAAGCCGCCTCTGGCTCCCACCTCGGTTCAACCTTTAGAACAAAGGGCACCGCGCCGCGCACTTCCTAGTGACTCAGTGCAACACGGCGCCCCAGCGGGGTGCAGGCAGGATGGGGCCCCGCGCACACACAATGCCAGGGGAAACTTTTGTGGGATCAAAGCCTACGGAGAGGCTCCATTTTAGGTCCAGATCCCAGCAGCTTCCCCGGGACCCCGGCTCGGCTCAGCTCAGCCGCGCTAGGGGAGCCGACTGGTGGGAGGGGCTGGGACCCATCCCGCCTGGTGCAGGAGGTTGAGAAATGGGGCCACACACACACACACAGGGGCCCCCAGGAGCCGGGGCTTTGCAATAGAGGAGAAGAATGAAACCCCTCTACCAGCCACTTTGGTTTCTTTAAAGCGCCAAGGGGCGGGGGGGGGGGGGGGGGAGATCCTCGCTCGCCCCCCCACAGATTGGTGAGCCCCTGAGTTGGGTCCCTTCTGGGGTAGTTTATGTGGGCGGGGGGGGCTGCTAAACCTACCTTTCTTTATGCAAGAGAGCCAGCCTCTCCTTGGGCACTTTGAGCCTCTGGGACAGTCTCCGCTTCAGTCCTTCCACCGTCTCTTCCACGGGGACGGAGAGCTCATAACGGGTCCCGGTGGTGGTGTTGATGTACAGATTCATGGAGGGCTCGTTCGGGACGGCCTCGCAGGCTGGGGCACCCCGGCTGCAGCTCCTGGCGCTGGGCTGCTGGTCCATTCGGTGACCTGGGGGGACGGGCAGGGAGCAGCGGTTGGTGTGGCACAGGGGGAACCAAGGGGGGGGGGGGGGTGGACAAAAAAAAGGAAGTGGAAGGGAACAAAGGAGCGACCAGAGCGCCCGGGTCGGCTGCGCGCACAGATACACACACACACGTACACGCACACACCAGCCGGGGTGGGATCGCCTTCCCGAGTCCTCCCTCGCTCCGGTTTAATATCCAAGGGTCACTCCGGATCCGTGGGGTCCTTCCAGGTCTTCCTCGCGCGGGGTTTTAAAGGGGACTTGGTGGGGGAGGGGAGGGGACCAGCTCTCCCTGAAGAACAAGGGAGTTTGCCCCGATTTAACCTCCCTAAAAAAATAGTAATAATAAAACCCCACAAGTCACTCTCTCATCGGGGATTTCCCTTCCCCTTCCCCGGATGCCTCCTGAGGACGCAGATCTCGCCGGGAGATGCTGCTCGCGTGTGTGTATGTGAGAGAGAGAGAAGGGGGGGGTGCTGCCTCCGTGCTGGGGGGCTGCAGAGGGAGAAGTGGGGGGAAAAAAAGCTTTTTCGTTCCTGATTCCCACCCCCCTTGGGGCTGAACCCGGCTACCCGGCAGCCGCCGCTCCGAGCTCCGCCGGTGTCGCGGTGTGAAAGTAACACACACACGGTACCCACACACACACACACACAAAAAGTTATAATGTATCAACGTTCTATCGGGGGGGGCGGAGCTAATTTCCCCCCTCATTCACTTCTTACTCCTTTCGCGCAGCCGCCAGCCAACCCGGCCTCTCCGAACGTGGAGACAGGCCACCCGGAGCCAATCGCGGCCGGCCCGGTGCTCCCCCACGTGGAAGGCTGACTCCTCCCTCCCTTTCAGAGCGCTCCACCTCCAACCCCCCCCCCAGCCACCCCACTTTCCCCCCTACGCCTTTGCCCAGCAGATCCTGACCCACTGGACACAGGAGGGTTGCCTGGTGCCTGGCTAGATTCCTCCCCACCCACAACTTGCAAAGCCAGCCCCCCCCCCCTTTTTTTTTTAAAGCCATTCATAATATATTAGCCTCACAACAAAGGGCTCCGCAGAAAAGCCTCAGAGGGTGAGGGGAGATTTACACGCGTGCTCAGCGGCCAGGTCTGGGGGCTGGTCTCCGTCCCGGCGTGGGACGACACACACACACACACACACGTTGCAGATTGCACCTTCTTCCTTGTTTCTGCTGCTGCCCGCAAGCCGGGAGCCGCGCACGGGGAAGGCAATGAATGACCCGAGCCTGCGCCGCAAAGCCATTGTTCTAAGGAGCGGGGAGGGTATTTACATTTCTTAAGAGGGAAGGGAATCCTTTGCCTAGCGCCCCCCCCGCCCCTCCCGGGGATGAACTGGAGGAAGGTGGTCGCTTCAGAACACGCCAAGGATGTCGCTTATTCCAAACAATGGCCGGCCGAGGGGCTCCCTCCCAGGACGGTGCTAGACCCTCGAGGTCTGCGAGGAGCTGGGGAAAGTGGAAGCGCTTTGCAACGGCTTTCGCATAATCCGGAGTGAGCGGAGGTCACGGAGCGAACAGCAAGTTAAAAGAGACAGACAGAGACATTCCCCCCCCCCCCCCCCCCACACACCCGGCCGGGCGGGGGGGGGGGGGGGGGGGGGGGGGGGGTCTATGGGGAAATATCCCACTATTACAACATGCGGATGAGGACTGAACAAAGCCCAGACTCGGATGCAATCCTCCTTGGGCAAATTCCGGTTCCAGGCAACTTCAAGGTTTGCTGGGGACAAGGGCCGGGTTAGATTTTGCCCCCCCTCCAAAAAAAAGCCGGAGGTCAAAGCGCGCACTGGCGGTGCAGAATTGCTCCGTGTTATATGCGGGGGTTTTGAACCCAGCAGCCGGAGACGGCGCCGAATGAATCCGCAAAGCAAGGGCGCCCCCTGCTGGGCACGGAAAGCCCGGCAGCTGGCAGGTTAGAATCGGGGAGCCTTGCCCGGAGTGTGGGAACCAACCCCACCGAGACAGTCAGCGCTGTAGGAACAGCGTGTCCTCTGTGCAGATGGGAACGGAAGAACCACTTAAAACAACACCACCACCCCCCTAGCTAACTACAAAGATACCTGGCCAGCTGCCCCTTTGCCGGTTAAGACGGGCGTTGGCGCAAACCTCGCCCAAACCCTATTAGATCTTGTGTGTGAACGGCCCGGCTACTAAGGGGCAGGTTAGTTAACCAGCCCGATCTGGGTGTAGGGCATCCAGGCGTAGGCGAGGGCTCGGCCCTTTCTGGCACCTGAGGGCAGCAGGTTGGGGGTCTTCTGAACAATGGGGTCATAAAGGATCACGCACCAGGGAGCTGAATTGCTTGGAAACCCGCCTCCCTCCCCCGGGTGGGGGCTGAGCACTTGGAACATCCGGCCTGAAATAAGTCGCCTTAACTCCCCTAGCCTGGGAAGGTGAAATCAAACGATTGACTGCAGCAAAGCTACCGTCACTCCCTCGTGACAAGTCTGATCTCTTTCTTCCATCCAGCTATGCCTGGGTGTCTCCCATTCTCCCCCAGGCATTAGATTTGAAACTGTAGATTAAAATCACCTACCAACTCTCTCGGGTCTTGGTCAGGAAAGTTTAAAAAAATAAAAACCCCAATCCTGCCAAGTCTGTCAGTGACATCTGCCTTGTTCGATTAAAGCAGACCTGCCCATGAAGAACAACTCCAATCGACTCAGGCTGCCTCGAGTGTCATTGAAGTCAGAAAGAAACTTTTTCCGAGGGAGCCCTGAGAGACGCTTAAAAATGGGACCTGGCCGTTGTAGGACTCCTGGAAGGTTTCCCCGGAAAGGGGGGACTACCAGGGAGCCTTGATTCTCAGTTTAGTTTGCCAAGGAGTAGCTAGATGCTGATCAGACTGTGGTGTGAACCAGGAGCCGCTCCAAAGGCTCTACATCGGTAGCGAAGTCAGAATCGGAGCCAGTGACTCTCTCCCCTACAATCCGCCCCTCTTCCTTAAAAGACACCGAAACCCTCGTTTAAAAGATGGATTTGTGAGTTGTCTTGAAGGCCCGAAGCCAAACAAGCAGGAATCTCGTGGGGGGGGGCCCAGCCGGGTTCCTCCGGGCGCTCTCAGTCGCTGGCTTGATAGAAGTTAACCCCCCCCCCGCCCAGGAACAGCACGAAATGACTTACCAGGTCCAGCGAATCCTTCCCCTTCGCCTCCTTCGCGCAGCCGGAACGGCTCGGGGCCCCCCAAAAAAGAAACTATATCCCGGTAAGCACGTGATCCAATCCGGCTCCAATCGTCCCCAAGCAGGTAAATCCCGGGCTAGTCCAGAGCTCGCACAACAAGGGGGAAATCCAGCTCCCTTCCCAGCCTGGCTCTCGGGCTTGTGAAGCGGCTCCGAGCGAGGCAGCCTTATTCTTTAATGTTTGGGAGGCGCTAGAGAAGTTTTATCCCCCCCCCCCCCGCGCGCACATTAGCCGGGGTGGAGCCTGAGAGAGGAGGATCAGCCAGCCTCGAAAAGCCTCCCAGCCATGCCGAGTCAGCAGGGAGATTGGAGGTGACGCAACTCTCACACCTGCCCCGCGCCGGCCCATTTTCAGTAACTCTTTCACAACCCGCCCGGCTTCTGCAGCCTCTGCCTTGTGGTTCCCCATTCCGCCTTCCAGTAAAGTGCTGCCTGGGCCAGCTCAGAACGCTCCTTATCGCTCCACACGCCGCAGGGGGGCCTGCAGGCCCCGGCCCCGGGGTGCTAGGCGCTGTACATACACCTAGCGGAGAGGGTTAGCCCTGAAAAGTGTATCAGCTGAATAGAGATGAAGGAGGATCCCATCCTCATTGTACTCATGGGAAACTGAGGCACAGAGAGAGGAAGTGCCTTGCCCGGTGTCTCACAGGGACAGAGCGGCAGAGGTGGGAGCTGACCACAGATCTCCTGGCCCAGGGCCTTAAAACAGGCCCCTCCGATAGCCAGTGGTTTTCAATTTATTTGCCATTATGAGCCGCATAGGCAGCGTCCACACACTGTATCAGTGGTTCTCAAACGTTTGTGCTGGTGCAAGCCTCTGAGTGCACACCCCCCCCCCATAAATGAAAAACACTTTTTTATATGTTTAACACCATTATAAATGCTGGAGGCAAAGCAGAGTTTGGGGTGGAGGCTGACAGCTTGTGACCCCCCCCCATGTAATAACCTCCCAACCCCCAGTTTGAGAACCCCTGCACTATATTATATATTTACTACTTGTATGGCCCTGAGGATGTCACAGAGGCGGCAGCTGTGTGCTGAGTGGGCTGCAAGCAGCCCACGGGCCGGGCCGTGGGACGAGAACCACTGCTACAGCACTTTCAGTTTCCCAGTTGCTCATCATAATTTAGCTTTAAAGGGACAGTCAGCTCAGCTAGGACAGAAGAAAAAAAAAAGACTGCAAAAAAGAAGAAGAGGTTTTGCAGCTCTAAGGCCGATAGAAATGTTGCTAAGTTTGGTTTAGCTAATAAAGCAAAGTTGTGTTAGATCAAAGCCCACAGGCGCACGGACACACACATCTATGCCCTGCAGCGAGACCCACTGCAGCTTTGGGGAGCAGACAGGGGATGGTGCTGTCACGGGAGGCAGCCTTTCTGAAAGGCGTGTAGATCTTCAGAGTGTGCTCCGCCCTCTGTTTGGCATTGATCATCTGTGAAATAGTTCACAGCCTTGCCCTGGAAATGCTCCTTGTCAGATTTCAGGGCTAATGCCCCTTGGGATGGCATGGGGTAGGACACCCTTCTCTTAGGATTTGGGGGACATCACCACCTCAGTTCTCACGTTGAAGAGTTTTCTCTGTAACCATAAGGCCTAGGGATGTGCTATTTTTATTTGAATAAAGGCCCAGATTCTGGAGCACTAGCTGGCAGAAGCTGAAGCTAGGAGAAAGTGGCATGGCCTGGGTCAATCACCTAGCGCTAGTGCAGGTGAACCAGAAAGTGAAACTGACTCAAAACAAACGTGAAACTGACTAGCCTGGCTTTAGGATGCCCTAAATGAAATGCAGAAAGTAAACAAACCGCAGCAATAGGGGAAAGCAAATCAGATTGTGAAATATAGTTAAGGCTGAAGAATCTAACATCCTGTCCTAACATAAGTCATATTGAATTACACCTAGCAGCCCCAGTCATGGCCCAGGATCTCATTGCGCTAGGCGCTGTACAAACACAGAACAAAGAGATGGTCCCTGCCCCCCAGAGCTTCCAATCCAAGTATAAAAAAGAGACACCAGTGGATACAGACAGGCAGACAGGGGAGCACAAGGAAATAAAAAACACTGTTTTGGGATTGTTTTTAAATCTGATTTTTAACATTATCCTGTCCCTTTAAGACAGGGCTCCCTACTAGCATGGCTAATGCGGGGACCCCTGATGTAATACGGGGGAGCGGAATCGTAAGCGAGGTAATCTCACATTGGAGATAGGAGGCTGAAAGCAGCTTTTCTACATGGAGCAGGGGACAGTTTACCCGCATGGGCCTTCAGAGTCCCTTTGTGCAGCCCTTAAACCTGGTGTCCTGGCAA